GCACTGTTGTCGAGTTCTTGGGTATTCACGATTTACGATTGCCTTATGTATATTCTTCCTTGATTTTTTTTTTTCAACGTCTCGGTTTTGCGGAGTAAAGGGACATAGGATCAGGGTGTTTTGCCATATCGCACCTTTTTGGAATGAATTATGCAACGTCTTCATGCACGCGCATTTAAATGCAATCGATGGTTCTTATTTACAGCTCTAGTTGCACCCATAAAGGTATTTATAATAGTTAAACGTTGTATAACTAGGCCTAGTAAGGAAGTATACAAGCGCTAAGGATATTCAGAACAGAAAAAGAAATATCATTCGAGCAGGTGCTAAAAGTCGAAACTGAGAAAGGCTTCCATCCGGAAACTTAATCATTGAGATCCTCGCGTTGGAAACGAAGCTTCTCCGACTGTTCGAGCTCAAGTAACGTTAAAGATTACCGTGCACTTTTGACCGAATAGCTTTAGTGATAGAGTCACGGCTGAGGTTGATGCAGGCCTGGAATTTGAGTCTCTTTGTCCTCGGTCTCCGCCTGCACATGTTAGCATTTCTCCAAATTGAGCGTTAGATGGCCATACAGGTTGGATTGGGCGACGAGGACTTCTGCTGCGAGCCTGTTCTTGCCCTCGTGCATAATCGGCTCGCTAGTCTATCCCGGTATGGGTTGACTCGCTCAGCGGCATTCCTGAGCTGTGCTCCCCAGGAAGGTATCTCGGTGATTGATAGATCACTCTTGATGAGCAGCACCTGTTGAAGGGTGGGGAGTGGTAGGATGCAGAGTGTGAAAGAAGGAAGGACTCGTAGTTGAGATTTGTACTTATTTATACAATCAGCTAAATATATGGAGATGGTCTGACTGCAGGTGATATCCTTTAGACTCTTTCATTCATAGCTTATGAGGCCTTTCTTTGCCCTCTTGGTCTTCTGCAAGCTATATTAGAAGCTTATGAGAGTATATTTGCTTAATGTATCATATATTGACTTCCTCATTTCCGCTGCGAATGGAGACTATAAAGGACGGCCACTCCATCTTGGTCTATGAGATGTGAATGGCAACTGAGAGATATCAGGCTTCCAAATGAGGCAAACATAGCACTCAAGTCCTCATATACTCACACGTTTGCTATATTTAAGGGTTTTTCCACTCTTCTCCTCTCTTTCCTTCTTCCTCTTCCCTTCTTCACAATTCCTCGGTTATTTCACGCTCTTTCTATATCCTTTCGAATCCAAATCACCCTCTTCAAATATTCCGAACAACATCTCCTAAGATGTCAAGTAATGTGAGTTCAGGGCGTATATTATACAATGTGCTATGATTAACGAAATATGTTATGCCACTACTGGTGGCCTCGCGAGGGGCAACTTTGCCGCAATCACGGCCTCCGCAGTTATCGAAGCGGAGGCTACTGCCGCTCAGGCAGCACAGACAGCCCGTGCAGCTGTCTCGTGGGCTTTTGACTTCGCCACCAGCAGCTTATCGATCGCAGCCCAGTAAGAATAATTTTCTTATGTGGACCACGAGCGGAAAAGGCTATTCGAGTACCTTTCCTCCGGCGATTTACCCTCGAACTTCGGGGCTTTCAATACCCGATGTATCTGATAGACATAGAACGAATTTTGGTCCGTTGTCCACCTGTTCCGTGTGAAATTTGGTTTAACATTAGAGCTGAAAGCACTCAGACTAGCGAAGGTATTCGATTCGCTATCAGTTTGCTAGGCTTATAGAAAGAAGACATTCGTCCCTTTGTTACCTAACTACATATGTACTGAGTATAGCAATTGAGCTTCTCGACTTTTACCTAGAGATCCTCTCTTTTCTTACGTATCTCAGACCCTTTTCAAGGCTCTTTGTTTCGCGCAGTACTTCTCGTCATCGTCTCAAGCTAAAGTCTACTTTGCTCGCTTGGCAAGTATTGTCTCCGAACCTAGAAATAACCTGTCCCAATAACACTACGCTATGTGACATACATTCTGTATACAGACTTTACATATATAACTAGTATAGATCAAATTTTCTTAGACCAGTTTGCTATGTTTATGGGCTTCCGCTTTCTTTTTCCTTCTTTCTGGTCTCCTTTTCACTTATCTCTCGTTCTTCATATCCTTTTCGCTCCTACACCTCACCCATTTCCCACATTTTCTTCTGGGATACCTATAAATATCCTTGCGCATGTGAGACACTCAAACTTTCATATGCTCGCGCGTTTGGTATATTTAATGGCCTTTCTCCCCTTCCACTTTCTCTCCTTTCTTCTCTCGCCATCCACCTCTCACTTTTGCATCTTTTTTTTCTTCGTATCTCTTTCTTTTATGTCTTTCTTTGATGTTTTCAGCTCTGCAAACCCTTATTCCAGATGACTTCCACATTGTGAGTCTACATGGATAATACCCAGTATACTATGATTGACGAATATAGGATGAGGTTGTGAACTCGTGAGAAATGAGAGCAACGCCCTACTGATAGCGGGACCAAGTATCAAAAGTGACTCTGGGCGCTGTGTGGATCAAAGTACCCTATTCAACCGGATTAGCACCCAAGAGCTAATCGATGGTCGGTATCTTCTAAATGGTGTGAAAGTCATTTACCTCTCTCTACTGCTATGTCAACGTGGTACTAACAGATTGGGACTTTCTTCAGGGCAGGAGGATATTGATGTTCTACCCACAGACACGAAAAAGGGAGTTCGCCGAGAATTTTGAAGAAAATCAAGTACCAGGAGAGCTCGGGATCAATGGATGATGATCTCGACGCGAGTTACATTCCGAGTACGGAAGTACAGGATAAAGACGGCAACGACTCTTGAAGTGATGATGATGAGGGGCTCGCGAACTCCGACGATGAGTTATTCGACACAATTGACTTGGGCCACTCGTTAGAGAAGATTCTCACACTGAAGTTCAACGCAAGGGAGACTTGGACGGAGTTTGCTGACCGGCATCAGCCGAACGACAGTGTCCGGTCCGAAGGAAAATCAGACAGTCGCAGGGTCGCAGGGTAAATGGTACTAGTATTTACAGCCTACATATGTATCTACCAGTCTTGCATGTTCAACTGTTTGCATGCAAGGCTACTAAATAGACCTAATTAAGCTACAGCGTTGCAGCTGTAAGTGGAGTCTCGAATTCTGAGCCGACGGTCATGAACTAACCATCATCTCATATATGGAGCGGGAACTGGACGATCCGAACTAGTGAAGGAACCAAGTTAAGCCTGTTTATATTCTAAATAATATCTTTCCACTCATGAATATGAACCATTTTTCAATAGCCTCCTTCCGCACTAGTGGTCCTAGTCATCAGCTCATTGAAATGCTAGGAAGGCCAACGAGGTATGTCACTGGAGATCCCTGGAGAGCATCTGCTCCGATACACTGTGTTTCCTCGGCTTTTGAGCCCGTGTGAGTAGAAATGAGTGAACTTAAACAACTAATGAGTAACCCGCAGGTTGTGCCTAGGTCTAGGCCGAATTAGGTAGGAAGGTGGAAGGGCAGTCTGGCTTCAGGAAGATATCTATAGAAAATGGAGAGAGCTTTACGATGGACAATAACTATTACCCGTTAATATTGCCATCTAGTAGACCTTGGAAGTTATTTTTGAATCCTACAGTTTCCCACGGAAGTCGATATACCAGGCATCAACTCCGGAAAGCCAATCTTCGAATTACTTCTAAATACGTGTATAGAAAGAATGATGCAATATGTAGCAAGCTATCTGTAAATGCAAAGATCACTCTATCAACCAGAGAACTGTAGGGTATTGTTGAGCTCTAACACCACACCAAATCCCAAATCAAACACAAAGCCAAGTGAGAACAGATTCGCCACGCTGATGCAAGTAGAAGAGAAGATAAAAACCCGAGATATGAAAGGACAGCGTCAAAACATGTACTGCCAAATGTCCATATGTCCAAGAACTCATGGCCCAGGATGACGCGAAGAAAAATAACTGCAGACCCATCCATGACAGGTATAGCAGGGAAATAAAAAAGGAGAAAATATGGGAGTAGAAAGGAACAGAATTTAATGCGACTGATCTCTTTTGTCGAAGTTCAGGGCCTGCGAGACCCAAGACCTTTCAGCACGACCCGCCTGCTTGTGCCGATAGATCCGATATCGCCAATACTGCGGACTTTGGGTAAGGAGTGTCCAACCACACTGCCGTCGCCAATCTCAAATCTGTCATCAGCATCGTGGTCCGGCGGCATGCCCAGTGCGAACTGGGGTGGGTTCTGGGAGCTGGAGCGGCGGGTCTTTTGGAGAACATCTGCAACCCAGGCTTCACCCTCTGGGCTCATGGATTCGTATCGAGCACGCGGCTTGGGACCAGCTAAGCCCAGCGGGGTGGAGCGGGATTCGTTGGCGATGCGGGCAGCAGCGGTGTTGCCTGGGGAATGGGGGTCCCCAATTGAATGACCGGAAGACACTGAAAGACGTCTGCCGGCCGAGGAAGGGGGAGGAACGACAGTGGGTGGAGGTGAGGTGAAGGAGGATATGTGGCCCGTTGTCACTGCCCTAGTGCCCGTTACATCGGATGCGGTTGAGCCTCGACGTTTCTTGTGAACAGTAAGGGATGAAGGTGGCCGAGCACTGAGCACGGACGGTGGTCGGGAGGGGGTAGCCCGGCCGGAGGCAAGATATGAAGTAGCTGGGGTCAACATAGTACCCGGAGAAGTGTAAGACGGCGATGAACGTGTTTTTATCCCCTGCACCTCCACACGGGGAGTTTCAGACACCTTGCGTCGACCGTGATGAATGACATATTCGCGAAGGTATTCGCCAAGATCAGCCCATCCACCACCAACACGAACCATCACTCGCTGCCCCTCTTCTCCAACAGTGCGAACGAACAGTTTTGTTGGTGCGGACTGGCCCCCGTGGTGGAGGTGATAGAGTTTGACACAGCTGTCCTCTGTCTTGTAGGCATGGGAATGCCGTCTCCGCGCAGCTGGCATCAACGTCAGAGAAGGTGCGGGAGTGTTGCTCCGAGTTGGACCAGTGGGGGATTCGGATCGGTACCGCATTCGTCGGTCTAAGGATGACGACGATGATGATGTGTCTGCTTCGTGGTTGGAGTCGACCATATGGATATGACCAGGCAACGAGTTGAGAATGGAGTTAACCTTTTCGTCGAGCTGATCTCGCGGTTGCTTGCTCTGTTTGGTTGGCGACGAAGGGCGAAATCCGAAATCGGTAGGTTCGGATTCATGCTCTTCTACATAGGACAGCTCTTGTCTCTTCACACCCAGACTTTCGAGACTTGGGTGGGCGGTCAGTCGCTGCCGCCATCGGAGGGACTTGGGCTGAAGAAGGTGCTCCATGGCTCTTCGGGCGGAATTCATCCCGAATGTCTTTTTGTTCCGTTCCGCAACTTTTGCCATCACATTTTGAGAGTTCAAGTCGGTTGCGGACTTCCCTCGTGACAGTTGATGACGGTGAGTAGGGAGACGTGGAACTGGTGGAATGGATGCAGCAGAAGGATCCTGGGATGTGATTTTGGTTCGTGTCTAAGATAGTCAATTAGCGGTGAGCATATAATCAAATGGATAATGGGTTCACATACCTTTGGGGGTTTGGGGAAGTCACCAGATGTAACAGAGCGTGTCCTAGCCCTAGACGGTCCCACACTAGCCACACCTGGTGCTGATTCGCTTCCAAGGCCCAACTCCAAGCGTTCGTTAATAAACCGCTCGAGGGGCAAGCTGACCGTGCGACTTTGTTGGAAGGACATTCGCGGGTCAAGTTTTTGGGTTTCCAGACGACGCAGACGATCCTCTCTCAGGGTATAGTCCCCATGCGAAGGAGGATGTGTAGATTCGGAGCGAGATGATGGCCCAAGAGGCGTCACATTAGAAGCAGTGCGCGGTTCGGGTGCCTCGGGACTAGATATTAGGGAGGAATGGTCTGAAAGCAAGGAACCCACAGATCCAGTAGACGTCCGACGACGATGCGTGATTCTGTGCACCACTTTACTATCTTTGTCGAGATCAGGCTTGCCTGGGCGGAATTTGCAAAGTTTAATTGGGCTCTGTAACGGCTGGCGAACAGTCCGTTGACAAGGTTCTGCTTTCCCTTCATTCCGCGGGTGGTGAGACTTCATGACCGTAGGATCTGAGCCCGACTTAGGTGATGCCACAGCCATGGGTATTTGGGAAGCCCTGCCAGAGGGCCTCGATTTCGGCACTCGGATCTCTGAGCTGTTTGGCGTGAGCACCGGAGAGACAGTTCCTGCTACTGGAGTATCACACTGATTCTGTCCACTCGGCCCGTCCAGCGATTTAGGATCTTGCCCAACAGGAGAACTAATGGCTTTAGGCTCAGGGTTAGGTTCGGTTGATTTGGAGTGTGGAGCAGATTGCTTTCCTTCCTTATCGGAGTTTCTTTCTTTTTCATCAGCGACAGTGTCACCAGGAAAGTCTTTGCGACTAGCGGAGGCTGTGAGCTCTTCCGCAGTGAACACACCAACAGAAACAACAACCTCAGCACGTTGGATCCCCATTTCAGGTGCAGTGGAATGTTGACCGCAAGGATCTTCAGCCACAGCACTATGCTCGGACAATGGACTTGCTCTTGTCGAAGCTTGGCTGGGAGGTGACACAGCTCCCTCAAGCTGCTGGAAGCCGATCGGGGGAATGTTTTCTTTGTTTTCTGAGGTGCGATCAATTGCGCAAGACGTATGTGCGGGAGCTGAAAATGGCTGTCGACTGGTCGCAGGAGCAGATGGAAAGTCGGACTGTGTTGGTGTGTCTAGGTCCTCTGCCACGACCATAGGTGTGAGATCTTCTTGCTTCTCTTCGGTGGGAGACTTCGACAAAGATATCGAGAGTTGGGAGTTCGGCGAAGCGTCCTGTTCAACACTGCGTGCAGGAAGTGGCGTCTTTTGAAGAGGCACCATTGATTGTCCAATATATTGTGGGCTAGTCGGCTTTGCGTCACCGGGCGAGAGTTCAAGGACACACTGAATTTCGGGCTCATGTTCAACGGCCTGCTCCTGAGGGGAATGGAGATCATCTGAGGGCTCTGATACAACTGTATCGGATGTTGGGTCCTGCTGTGTTTCCTTCAATGACTCTGCGCGCTGGAGGTCGGCTGCGCGCATCTCAGCCATTTGAGAATCGGCTTTTGACCGCAACCACGCGCTGTGAACCTTGTATTTATCGGCCTCCACCACCCATATAGCAAAGTCGGACTCGATGGCTTCTAAGTCATCAATCCATTGTTCGGGCAACGAATCCGGACGACCCTCCAATGCATCGAGAACTCGGTCCATCCGCCTCCCCACCGCCACAACTGCGGACTCCAGCTTAACACGATCGGCAGCTAGGGATGCATCGGACAATTCGCTCGGGCCGACGGCAGAAGAATGCGGCGTTCGTAAGGTGTCGAGGGAGGAGTCAAGGGCGGAGCGGGTCAAGCTCAGCTCTCGCAGCAGATCAGGAATTTGGCGTAACACGAAAATTCGAACTTCCCAAGTGGCAAGTAGGGCGTTCAGTCGCGATAGATATGGGAGAGCTCGCAGGATTGTCGCGGTAATGACAGTTGTAAAGTCACTCAGCTGTACATAGCTAAGCGGCGGAGGCACGGACGCGCAGCTTGTGGCGGACGAGGGCCGAGACCTAGATGGAATGTGGGCATTCAAAACGTGTTCCTTTAATTCTTCCACGTTAAGATCGTCCATTCCATCGCGAATTTCGTCGGCTCTCCTCTCGTATCGCCCGACCACACTTGCTAACAAGCTCCCGTAGTAGCTTTCCTGGGTGTTGCTAGGGGGAGCCAGGAGGCCCGAAGGGATGTGATTTCCCCCAGAGTGCAACTCGGGTGGAGGAATGAAGCCCATCCCAACCTTCGCGTCGCGCTGATCTGGCCAATCCCATGATTGAACCTCTTTATGCCACAAGTTCAAGTTTTGGGCGGCTACCGCGGCGCGTATCCCTAGGGCGCGTTCCGACGGCGACACCTGGGAGATGCTTCGTGAGAGGATATCATGAGCGGCTTTTTCGTTCGAAGGGACTGCGTCCGCTGATGTGAGAGCTTGGAGAGTCGATTCGGGAGAGAGGTTGCTGAGGAGAGGGTCGAGTTTCTGGTAGACGGAGCCCGGGATTCTTTCGAGTGAGGTTGAACGCGAGTTATTTCGGGAGTGGGAGTGTACGGGGGAGAGGCGGATGGAAGGGCGACTCGGGTTTATTTGACTGGCCGCCATACCGAATAGATGCTCAGCCTAAGTCGTGTAAAGTCACAGGGAGCCTCGACTGGCTCGAGGATGGCACGTAAGTGACGGGCGTCGGAACGAGGGCGGGAAAGACGACTGTCGAGCCCGCATGCTGAGACGCGCGTCTTAAGAAAGTGCAGAACTTGGCAAGCAATAAGCTGGAAGAGAGAAAATAAAGAAATGGAAAAATGATTGGAACTTGAGGAGAGGTCGAATGTACAAAAGTGAGAAAAAGCGAGAAGCGAGGGAGTGCGGAGAGAGTGGAGTGGGCACAAATGAACGACAAGAAGAGAAAGACCGGCTTTCTGATCACAATGATATCAGAACAATAGTTCAATCGGAAGATTTTCTGAAGTCGAATTTATTTTGACAATTGGAAGTGGAGATCTGATCAGGGGGGAAAGGCCCTAAGGTCTTGAGTGGAGTTGCCGATATGAACCACCGGGTGATCCGCCATACTATGTATGGGGAAAATTACCACATTTCTTCTTTTTTTATGTTATAACTTGGACGATTCGAGCATGTCGGAGGGGTGTAGAAGCAAATTTTTCTTGTTTAACTGTTTAATCGGCGAGCAAAAGCAGATATCAAAGTGTTCCCAGAAGGGGAAACAGGCTATTTGAAAATAGCCTCAACCATAGACGCAAGGGTGAATGCATATTTGAATATTTGGCCAATTATTTCTTATATACCCCGTAGCAGATATTGATATAGCAAAACCAAAACAAATTACCTATTCGATCAATTTCTGCTATCACTATGCGGTAATGATGGCGTTGTCGGAACATGATGGCGCGCCTCCTAGCCCAAATAGGGCCAGGAATATCCCCGAGACTCTCCAAAGTTGCAGAGTTGCAGACCTGCAGAAGCATATTCTACCAAGCCGATCATCATGCAAGGGTTTCGCTACCGCCCAGAACTTCTGGAAGGCCTTCCCGAAGAGCTCACTAAAGAGCTCAAGAAATATGAAGACTGGTTCTGGGTCGATGCGACCAAGTTGAAGGCGATCTCAGATCACTTTGCTAAGGAGCTGGAAAAAGGTCTTACCGTTGAGGGTGGGTCTGTTGTCAGTATCCATTGTCCCAAGATGATTCGAGTAGATGCTGACTGGAATGTTGGCTTGAATTGAAGCCTATGGACGTCACATGGATTATGAAATACCCAACAGGCCAGGAGAAAGGAAGGGTTCTCACTGTTGACCTGGGGGGAACCAATATCCGTGTATGTGATGTCTGTCTATCCGCGGGGAAGAGAGACTTTGAGCAACGTCAGAAGAAATACAAGCTTCCGGAGGCAGTCAAGTCGACCACAAAAGAAGCCCTGTGGGGTTTTATTGCGGACCAAATCAAGTCGTTCCTCAGTGAAAATCACAGTGGTCTCAGTGCTTCAAATCCACTACCGATGGCTTTCACTTTCTCGTTCCCAGTGGAGCAGAAGTCTATCCGCAGTGGCATTCTTCAACACTGGACTAAAAACTTCAATGTTTCCGGAGTCGTAGGGCGCGATGTAGTACCTCAGCTGGAAGAAGAACTTGCAAAGAAGGTAGGTCCGCGTTCAATACCAAGAGAATCAAAGCTGATCAAACTAGAGCGTCCCAGTGAGAATAGTTGCCCTCGTCAACGACACAGCGGGGACCCTTGTCGCATCGCATTACCGGGATCCGCAGGTAAAGATTGGTAGCATTTTCAGTACCGGCTGCAATGCAGCGTACATGGAAGAGTGCCGGTTGGTCCCCAAGCTGCGTGGCTCAGGACTGTCGGAAGATGCAACTGTGATCATCAACACCGAGTACGGCGCCTTTGATAACGAGCGTAAGGTACTGCCTTTGACTCCATTTGACCGCCAGCTCGACGAGGAGTCCGCCCACCCAGGCAGACAGATATATGAGAAGATGGTGGCTGGGTTGTACATAGGAGAGATGCTGCGCCTGGTATTGCTGAAAATGCATGAGGAAGGTTTGCTCTTCAAGGGCCAAGACGTCTCGCGTCTTCGGGCCGCGAACGCATTGGAGACATCGTTTCTGTCTGCTGTCGAGATGGACATGTCAGAAAGTCTGACCGACGTGAAAAAGGTGTTCAAGGAGAGCCTCAATCTGGAACTCTCGCTGGGCGAGCTGAAAGCGTGTCGTTATCTTATCGGCCTGATCTCGATGCGCGCAGCGCGTCTCTACGCGTGTGGAATTGCGGCCATCTGCAAGAAAAAAGGGATCCGTCAGTGCCACGTTGGGGTTGATGGCTCGGTGTTCAGTAAATATAGTATGTTGAAGGGACGGGCAGTGCAGGGTCTTCGTGATATTTTTGATTGGGAGGGAGACAAATTGGATTTGATTGCTCTAAACACGGCCGAGGATGGGTCTGGAGTAGGAGCAGCTTTGGTTGCGAGTGTGGCTCTTCATCCGAGTGAATTGGAAGAATGTACCGCGGAGGACTATATGTAAAATTGAATGACACCCAGCTGTTCCAAAGTTGTGAGAGAAGAAGATGTATAATCCTCATCTCTGTGGACGATAGCGATAAGCACTTTACTTGGTCGGCTCTCCTCCCTCCATCGTCAACTCCCACAATGCGGTTCCGAACACAATTAAGGGACAGCAGGACCTTCTCCAGTAAGCCTGGTCATTAGAACAAAGGACCCGAGCTAACTAAATCAGAGCTCACCGCGTCACTGTCCTCGCTGGGCAAGGTATGTTGGATGCGCCTGGAGTACGAGGTGATCCGCTTTACCATCATACCCGACCAAGGCACACAAGTGTGGGCGTCAATACCAGTCGTAAGCACAATAATGTCATGTCTATCAGTCATATGATCTATATTTTGACCATTTTCCAGGGGACCATTTTCGACGACACGACTTACGAGCTAGAGTCCAATTCCGACGCCATCAACGTCGAAGTCAACATCAGCGTCCTGAACCGAGCCCTGCGCTCCGCCTGGGGCTCAACACATGCACAACTCCGACTAACTAAGAAAGGGAAAACCCCCCTCTTGGCACTAACAGTCCTCGCATCAGAATGGACAGAGGGGAACATGGCCTTGGCCACCAATGACGACGCAGATGGCTTTGGCGACGGCTCCAACTCAGAAGCAGCTCCAGCCGACACCACTGGCGATCGAGGACCACGCGAACGCCAAACATGGATCACGCAAGAAATCCCCATCAAGATCCTACACGAGTCAGCGGTCGAAGGCTTGCACGAGCCGCACTGCCCAGACCCCGAAGTGCACATCATCCTACCCAATCTGGCGCAGTTGAAGAGCATCTCCGATCGCTTCACGAAACTCGCTTCCGCAGATAGCAAAAGCCGACTGCCGGGCGTGATGGCGCCCGATGCGCCGGGGATGCGCTCCGTTTCTTTCTGTGGGGCGGGCGCGAACACAGCTGCCCCGGCATTGTCCACCAACTCGTCTCCCAAGCTTGAATTATCTGCTAATATGCATGGTTCGCTACGGCTAGCTATTGCTACAGACGAGCTGCGCATCGCTAGTGTCTGGTCTGATCTTGTGAACCCGCCATTGGACCCTGCGCAGATGACCCAGGAGCAGATGAGCCAGCTTCCCAGTGAGCTTAATCGGAAGCGCGAGGCGAGCGAGGGATTCGACTCTGGTTGGGCTAAGGTGCGGATTGATGGAAAGGATTGGAGTCGGGTGCTCAGTATTGGTAGACTCAGTCCCAAGGTCGTTGCCTGTAAGTTTTTCCATGCCGCTTGGAAATGCCGCTCGCTGGTGCGAGTGCTGATTCAATTTCTCATTTGTTGTGGTTAGGCTTCGTCAATGAAATGGCACTGGTTCTTTACGTCTATCTGCCACATAATCGCGACGAAGAGGAGTCTTGTTTAACGGTGGGTTGGCATTACCCCAAGTATGCATCCCTCCAACAACCTAGGCCTCTAACAGTCGCATTACAGTATTATATCAATTCATTTACCACATAATGCTGCGCTGAAATTTGAGCTACCATGGCCATCTTCCAACTTTCAGGCGTCCGAGGGTCGGAATGAATTATTAGAAATCGTTATTAATTAAGACAGGTGCATGTGAGAAACCATGCAAGAAGGAACCCCCGGATCCAGAAAGTTCCAGCAAGCAACAAAATATCAGGCCAGAATAGAACAGCAATGGGAGGAGGGTGATATACATAATGCCAGGAGTACGAGCCCTTGACTCCATGGATGAGGTCGTGCCAAAGAACAACAAAGATCAAGTTATGTGCAAAAGCAAGGCTTCAGATGACGTTCAGTGAGCGAGAATGCAGAGAGATGGCGTGTCTGCCGGGGCAAGAAACGAGACACATGCAGGATGCGCAATGACAAATCTAGTAACAGGGGGTTGTATTATTCAACGGTAGGGGGATGGGGTTCATCAAAGAAATCATGTGGGAACAATAAAAGGAATAAAAGGCATAACGATGAAACAAACAAACATAATGGAACAAAAGAAAAGGACATCATAGCGCTGAGTTAGTCGGGAGACTGGTAAGCACTATATCATCGGCCATTCAGATGAAGTCTGATGGCTACTGGGCCATCACGTCAACGTAACGGCCCTTCTTCTTGCCGCGAACCGTGTTGCCCTTGCGCGCCTGGGGCGCACCGATCAAATCATCGATTGAGCTAGCGTGAGTCAAAGACGAAGAAGGTCGCGGCGGCGGGCCGCTGGAACTACCGGGTGGTGTTGGCATAGCAGCTCCCGTAGAAACGGACCGAGACGCGATACCAGAGAAGCCTGGACTGGAGGACAACAACGGTGGGGCGGCAGTCGAGGAAGATGGAGGCCGGCTGCCAGAGACCGACATTGGGGGCATCGGAGGTGCACCGTTTTGTGGCATGCTACCCGAGCTCGCAGTGCGACTAGGGGGAGCGGATCCTCGAGGAGGAGGCGGGGTGGCATGGACCGGCGCGCTACTACCGGGGTCTTTCTTGTTGACCCATTTCTTCAGATCCTTGTCATAGTAAAAGGAGCTCTCTTCGCCAAGTTTAGCTTTGATAGGGCCGCCACCGGAGTTGTTTTCCTCTTTCTTAGCTCCGCCGAACCACCCACCAAACCAGCCCTTCTTGGTAGATTGTTGGGCGCCCTTCTTAGCTGCAGCAGAAGCAGATTAGCAAGTGAGATAAGCTGTGGGTGTTGCTGATACATACCATCTTCCTCGGCGGCTTTCGCGAACGCTTCATTTGCCTTGCGATCATTCTCCGCTTTTTGGATAGCGGCCGCCCGGGCAGCAAGATCGTCGTCGTCGTCGTCGTCGTCCATGATTGACTTCTTCTTTGGCTGCTCTGCGGTAGGTGGCAGATCCTCCTCCTGGGCAACATAGCCCATGTCTACATCAGCCGCAACCGACTCATAGGAAACCGGCTCGTAAGACGAGCTGGGAACTGGAGGTATGTAAGGTGACTCAGAGTCCGGTACACCAGCTGGCACACCAAGAGGGCCGTCGTAATAGGGGGATTCGCTAGATGAGGCGGCCTGTCCTGGAGGCTGGTAAAAGAGGCCATTCACCATGGGCTGTGCAGCTGGAGGAGCTTCAGCGGGTGACAGAGCCTCTTCTACCGGAGCAAGAGGAACGTAAGAGGACTGGGGCGGCGTTTGTTGATACCCACCCGCGTTTGGTGACCCATACATTGGAGCTCCATAGGACATGTGTTGATCAATCGAGGGCGAGAGTTCTTGTGAGCTTCGACGTTGTCCAACGGGCGGGAAGTAGGAAGCAGATCTCTGAGAATCCATTGAAGACCGGCCCTTGAACTGCTCAGGTGAGCCATTTGGAGCATATTGGCTGGATGGGTGATACTTGGATGCGCCGCTGATAGGAATAGGCTGCGCTCCTGTCGCTGCTCCAGGATAAGAACCGTAGATGTCAGATACAGAAGGTGGTCGGCTAATCGTCGGGGTACCAGCCACGTTTGCAAAGGGTCCAAATTCCGCATTCTCACCACCCTTACCGGACCCAGTTGATGCAGCATCACTATCATCACCTACCACGAAGCTATTGAAACGGGCCCACATAGACCCCGAGACCTTCTCCATGCTTGGCCTCGAGATCCAAGAGCCACTATCGCTGGTTGTCTGGCGCAGACGTGCAGACAGCTCTTCAACTTCCGCGAAGAGGTGTTGGTGATAATACGGTGAGGGACGAGTCGTTGCTTTCAATGCCGCTGCCACTGCGTCACAATAGCCTTGCGCCTCCAGATTGCGACCATTGTCAACGAGGCACCGGGCATTCAGGATCTTAAAAGCTAACAGATGTGGCATATGGGCTGTTGGAGAGTTGCCGAGAACAGACGTAGCAAATTCATAAGCTTCAGTCAGCAAGATAGAATCTTCATCCATCAAGGAAGAAGGGCAACGCTGATGGTCAGCACCAAGAAGAGCGATGTTTGCCTTTGGATCATCGGGGCCACCGAAAACGGCAGCGCGTGAGAAGATGTAACAAACGTGAGCCGCCTCTGTCCGTCCATAAGAAGTAAGCAGGTGACCAAGGGAAAACAGGGCCTGATGATCCTCAGAACTTCGGTTACTCAAAACCAGACCCAAGGTATCCCTCCACTTGTCTAAACCCTCGAGAGCATTCTTAGTAAGCCCCTGGCCATCGGCCTTGCTAATAAGTTGCAGACCTGCTCGGGCAGACGGGGGAACGAGTTCATCGATGCTCTCTTCAATATTTCCAGCGAATATCTCGTAGAGGGCCGCAAGTGAGTCGGTGTTGGCGGATTTGGATCTGACCTCGCGGCGGACGAACTCCTGCACGACCTGTTTTGAAATCGACCTGTCCATGGTGGATGAGATGATCATCGCATGTCCCCAAAGACGTCGATCGACGGCGCTCCAGACGGCCTTCTCGCGCTCACCACAGATCAAGTGTAGGCGAAGCTCCTCCAACCACTGCGCATCAACAGCATCGGGCTGCGAAGGCATTTCCGACCGGGCAAATCCTCCTGAGGCAGCTAAACAGCTGGTGTATGATCCGTCTGCGTCGGGGTTCGGTAAGTTGGGGAAGATGATCTGGCGGAGAGACTTTTGAATTTCAGGGGAACTTTCCAGGTTACCGTCATTCTCCACCAGAAGCTTGACAACCTTCCAGAGTAGGGCTTTTTCCTCCCGGCCTTTGTGCCTATTAGACGGGGTCTGTTCGTAACTCGGGAGGTCTGAATTTTCGAATGCCGAGATTTTGCTAGAAAGCCAAGCAATCAAGTCCTTCTTCTTTGACTTTGCTTTGAGGGGGCCAGGATGTTGGACAATGCTATCAGCGGAGGGCAGCCATCCGCTTAGCCGGGAGATTTTCGGTTCACCAAGAGTGGGTTGAATCATTGGCGCCACTTGCCCAGCGGAATAGCGAGGAACGTGCCTGGGGAAACAAGACACCACGGATCCGCCGAACCCGAATTTGAAGATCGGAGCACCCTTCCATCGCTCTAGGGGATCATGCTCCTGTCCGTCATTAGGA